TTTATCCGTACGCAGCGTTCTTTTATGCCGCTGGGGCGTGGTTGGGAGAGGATGGAGCGGAGGTTCTGGCGGGCTTCGGATTTCACGTGCGGGGCTACGCTGTCTTCGAGATCGTAGGCTACTGTGTCGACGTGCATGGATGATGTTTTTTCAAGCATCTTTTTGGAGGAACCAGGGACTTGTCTTGATTGTTAGCAGATGTGAAGATATGGGTGGGTGGAACGAATGAGGGAGAGCTACCATACATGACCGCCCTGCGGATTATATTGCGTGGTACGGCCATGATTATGGTTCTGAATATTCAATTGCTACCATAAAGAATCAAAGCAGCTCAATCCAGAAGAATAACCACACGTTGCGATCAAACAAGATCAATCGTCCGAAAACACTTTGATGGAGAAGTGGAGGACCCCCGAGGTTATGACGCGGGGAAAGCTCAAGCTTCCCTCCCCCAAACGCCGACTCGCCGATCCTGTCCCTTAGCACGGACCCTGCGCGACTTCCAAACGTTCACGACTCCGAGTAAATGCCACGTGAACTCATCGTATCGACGACGAACCTCGCCACCAGAAGCTATCGCAGCTACGCTAGGTAGCCCCTCTCGACCGAAGCAACGCAGTAATGGAGAACGCACAGCAGACGCCCTCGCCGGGGAGCTTGAGCTGGAGGCTCAGTAGCCATCCCATCACACTGCTTACCTTTCTGTTCTTCCGCATATGTACGTTCTTGACAAGTTTCCTGTACATTTGTACCTTACGACGAGGTTCGGGGAAGAAATGAAGCGATTGCTATTCCTCGCCTCCTACCGAGAAATCAAAAGAACAAACTATGCGGAGATCATGATGCTAACTTCCCACCCACAGCATCCCTCCTAGTCTACCTCTTCGGCCTGCGTCTTTTCACCTCCAACTTCGTCCTCATCTTCATCGTCACGATCCTGCTCCTCGCCACGGACTTCTACTACCTCAAGAACATCGCGGGACGACGACTCGTGGGGCTACGATGGTGGAACGAGGTCGACGGCGCGTCAGGCGACAGCCGGTGGGTGTTCGAGAGCGCGGATCCCGCCGAACGAGAAGTCAATGCTACGGACAAGCGCTTCTTTTGGATCGCGTTGTATGCGCAGCCCGTGCTGTGGATTTTGCTGGCCATTGTGGCGTTGGTTAGCTTTGAGTTTATTTGGTTGACGCTTGTTGGTGAGTTTGGATTCTTTCTGCTCTCCCGTCTTTTGATATGGGGACTATCTTTATGTTTGATGGATATATGAGCAGGATACTGTTTTCAATCACCCAAACCACAGACTAACAAAAATCCCACAGTCATCGCCCTCGTCCTAACCCTTACAAACGCCCTCGCCTACTCGCGCTGCGACAAATTCAGCAACGCCTCCGGCTTCGCCTCAAACGCCATGTACGGCTCCGGTTTGGCCAGGAACCTCGCCAGCGGCATGGTGACAAGTTGGTTCAGGAGATAGATCCGCAGAACCCACGTCTGGGTAGGTCACAGTGGGAAAGGCTGGGATGGGAGTAAAGAGTATCGTTCTTGAGAGTTTCGAGATATACTGTACAAGTATGTAGGGCATTTACTGGATCGCAAGGGACTAGATATTGGCGTTATTCAATTGTTGCTGCTATGTCTTAGACGAGATATCCTTTTTTGGTCTGCTAGAGGGGAAAATTCTGGTTTTACTTCATGCCTATGCAGCAGTGTTGTCCATTGGTGCTTTTCCGATGGGAGCGGTGGGTGGGTTTGGTGATTATGATGCTGACTTTATTACAAAATTACGGATGAAATCACGTTTTCAGTGCATTTCGTGGAATTCTGAAATCGACGAAGTTGGACTGGCATTGAACATATACAATTCCCATTTACGCAGTGGTTTTCATCACCATTGATCCCTCCAGACAATTCCCAATTCCCATCATCGTTGTTATATGCAATCTTAGCCGAGAAACCTTTTGGATTTTTTCAACCCAAAGTATCAAACGCCCTGATGTTAGTTCTTACTCTTCACCTCTGTGTACTTGGCCAGCCCAACATACGAGTTGATCCAATCCAACACAACCTCATGCCACTTGAGCGAGTTCTCTGGCTTGAGCACCCAGTGGTTTTCATCAGGGAACGTCAAGAACTGACTAGGAATACCCTTGGTCTGCAGCACATTGAAAGCTGAAAGGCCTTCGTTCATCGTAAGACGATAGTCGAGTTCGGAGTGGATAATGAGGTGTGGCGTTGCCCAATTGTCTAGGAAGCGCGAAGGATCCCATTCAGCCCATGACGAGCTGTTACTCCACAGAGGGCCGCCCAAGTCGTGGAATGGGAAGTAAAGCTCCTCTGATGCGAGTTGGCTCGTCATGCTGAAGACGCCATCGTGGGTCACGAGAGCTTTGAACTTCCGGCCAAGATCGTGCCCTTGAATCCAGTTCATCATGTAGCCACCGTACGAGGCTCCCAGGGCGACAGCGCGCTCCGTGTCTACGTAGGGAACGTTCTTTTCAATATATTCGAAGCCATTGACAAGATCTTCGTAGGGCAAGCCGCCCCACTGGTTCTGAATGGCGTCGACAAAATCTTGACCATAGCCCGTGCTGCCTGTTGGATTGGGACAAACGACTACGTAGCCTTGCTCGGCGAAGATGGCAGGGTTCCAGCGCGTGCTCCAGCTATCTGTCCAAGCTCCTTGAGGACCACCATGGATCAAATAGGCAAGCGGGTACTTCTGATCCGGGTCGAAATTTGAAGGCTTGACAACCCAAGCATGGATAGACGTGTTAGGTGCTGAACCAGGCCAGTAAAATTCGTCCAGTTGACGGCGGGAGAGTCCAAATGAGGAGCCGCCACGGCTGTTGGAGGAGACATATGCTGCAGTTAGCTCAGTGGAGGCAGGGTCGACGGCGCTTTCGTCGACAGGAAGTGTGTATGCATTTCTGCCCTGCGAAATCCTTGTCTATTCGTGGAATTTGGGTCAGCATTGAATAAGTTGAAATACCAGCGGAAAACGTACGCTGTGATCTGCCGGTATGAGGGAGTACAGGCTGTTATCGATGAGGCTGCTTGAAGATACGAAGAGAGCGCCCGACTCCAAAACTTTGACATCGTTGATGGACCCACCCTTAACGAGGAGGTGGGGCGAGCTTGAATGGGCGCCGTCCAGAAAAGCACTCGCTGGCGTCAGGAATAGATTTGTGCGACCTTCCTTTTCGGCAGTCACATATAGAATCTTATTTCCCCAAGTGATTGACTGTGGGCTTCGGTCCCAGCTGCCTTTCCCAGTGCTTCCAGGGAACAGATGCTGTACCCATCCCGGGCTGACATAGTCAGGAATAACAAAGAGTTGATTCTTGTCAGACTCGTAGCCGTCCGTCTTCATCGACAAGAAGGCAATGCTCTTGCCCTCTTTATCCCACACTGGACTAGAGCTTGCGCCCTCAAAGTTGTAGATGGGAACCTGAAAGAACTCGGGGATCTTGTTGGCAATATCCAGCCAGAATGTGTTTGATGCAGAGAGATAAATATTGGTCTTTGTATGCGTGGCAGGATTCAAGACAGGATCCTTGGCGGTAAAGACTAGGCCATGAACCGATATGTCAAAATTGTCAGTGCCACCGAAAGGGTCAATGGGAGACTCGAGGCCGGAATCCTTGAGCGCGTTGATAAGCCCAGAGAGTTTGTACTGATCACCTTCTTTATAGAGAGTGGCTAGGAAGATCGCGTTGCGGTTTTCCGTCACATAGTGATCCCAATGGCGGACAAACAGCGACGTGTACACGCGACCAGTCGTGTGTGGCTTCGAAGCCTTCTCTGGGTTAAACAAGTCGCCATTCAGCTTTGCCTTTCCTGTGACAGCAACGCCAAAAGTGGTATTATCGATAGATGTTAGCTTCACGTTGCCAACTGGACCATCAATGGTACCGGCAATGTAACTCCTGCCGACTGGTTAGATCCAAACGATTGGAAGATGATAAGAGTATTGCGTGCTTGTCCTTGAAGTCATCAGCTGGGCCGACCTTGACGTGCGTGACCCCGCCCTCATCCTCATGCAGCAACAACACAGTCTCGTCATCTAGCCATTGGGGCTCGCTCGAGCCCGACTTATCGGTGACAAGAGATGTCTCTTGCGACTTGACGTCCAAAACGCGAATCTCAGAGGTCTTGGCATGCTTGTCAAAGCTGTACGTCGAAACGCTGTACAAGACTTTGGAAGCGTCGGAATTTGGCAGACCTGCAGAGCGACGAGGAGCGCTGAGAAGAGCCTCGGGCGTGAATTTCTTAGCGCGGACAGTCATTTCAAAGGCAGTGCTCAAAGCCAGAGCAAGTGGGAGCAGGTAGTGGAGCTGCCTAGAGCGAGGTCAGCAGGGTGCTCGATGATAGCAATTGCAAGTGGGGAATAGTACATATTGGCTGGGAAATGCGAGGTATCAATGTGCTTTTGAAACAAATGGACAGCTCCCAGGGGCACAGTAGCCACTGCTGGAGTCTGCGGGGTGGGCAGAGGTTTATGTTGCAGTGCTACTCCAGGTGGTTGTAGGAGCGGAGCCGAAAGCAGGCGCTCCTTCTTTTGGGTGCTCCCCTTGCGTCATGACTAAAAAGAAAAGCTACCTACCGTTTGTCTACTAAGTGATACAGCTGGAGACGAAAAATTGCGCAGCGAAGCCCGATTGTGGTGTTGGTACAGAGGCGAAGAGAGAATGGGAGGTTGGAGACATGAAGCTCTCGCGGGAGCTAGGATATAGCTCCGTTCCGGAGCACGCGAAGTCACGTCAGATGGTCCGGATGGATGGCCCGCCGTCCTTGCTTACCCTACCGGCGGCTTCCCCACCCCACCTATGACTCCCTGCAATGGAGAGCTCAGCTAGCTGATAGAGCTGACTGTAATCAGTGCGGGCAAGGTAAGACTTACCATGGCTGCCTGCCAGCAGGGCTTTGAATGTGTCTTTATATACTATCTAACGCAAAATCTTCACCAAAAAATGCCACAGATCTCATAGCGAGATTCACAAGTTCCTGTGGCGCAGTGGCTAGCGCGCCGTTCTTATATTCGATCGTCAGATCAATATGGCCTCATTTGGTTATGCGGATGTCGTGGGTTCGACCCCCACCAGGAACAGTCTTCTGTTCGCCTTCTTTTTGTTTTTGCATTTTTTTGGTCCCGTGCCGCGTCCTCCACCACACTACATTAGGACGGTGCCGAGGCTCTTATTTTGGGAGATGGATAGTAACACAGCCGTTCTACATTGCTACACAGCATATGTCGTGAATTTGTGTCTCTATATCCAGGACATGTTGCAGTTGTGATATTGGAACGACATTGAAAAGATATCAGACAGCTCAACGTAGAGGACTACCTAGGTCCCTTTACATTTGTTCTTGTTTTCCCTTTACGATTTTTTATATTCCCCTGAACTCGTGAAAGCTACATACTCCATGTCTATGGGTTAGGAATGGGGTTTAGTATACTAGGTATCTTACTATGTAGAGAGGTACTTTAGTAAGCACTTGAGGTATCAGTATAATCTTTAGATACACGGAATCGTTTCCTTACACCGTGCGTCTCCTGGAATACCTAATATAGCCATCGTCAAAGAACAGAGAAGGACCAAAGGCACTCTGTTGACCTGAAAGGAAGAACAAATCGCCTTACGAGGTGGTTTTTTTAACATTTGGACAAAGAAGAGAACACAATGCCAGGAACACACAACTAAACAAAGAGTTAGACAAAATACATTACATGATACAGTCTTTCTCGCTCGCTTCCGCCAATGATGCTTCCATGCCGCTAGCCATGCAATCCGCCTTTGTTTAAATGCCCAAAACGCCATGAAGTATGCAAATGCAGTATACGCACTATTCCTGACAGTGCCGCCCATCAATCCAATACAAATACAAAACCATAATCGATTCTCCACCTTCGAACTCGTAAATTAAAACATCCGCGCATTGGGGCCCCAGTAGAACTTGCTCCGTGATATCTCTTCGTCCCGCACGCTGCGTTCGATCTTGTTCCTAAGGATCTCAAATTGTCGCTCATATTCCCAGCGGGGGGTCTCTGCTCCTCGCATGCCGATGAACCGAGCAAACATGCGCATTTTGATCTTCAAACGCTCCGTATCCGTCAGCTTGCAGTTGTCGGGTAGAGTAGGGTCATCGTGGAGAAAAGGCTTCGTCCAGTCCATAGTTTGGGGGTACGCGTATTTGAGGTCTGGCCAGGTAGGATTGCTTGAAGCAGGGGAGACTTGAGAATAGTAGTGAGCGAAAGCATCGAGCTGGGGCTCGGTCAAGAGGTAAAGTTGAAGCATCGACGTAGGAAAGTCATCAGGAGGTACGCCAGTACACACATGAACTATGGGTGCAATATCAAGGCGCATTTGTTCAATCTTCTTTGCTAGTTCTGGGTTCCGCTGCGCGAGCGGCATTTCGACGCTTTTGCCTTCAGTGCCTGGCGTGCTAGGCTTGTGGGTCCGATCGTGTCCCTCCTGCATGTGTGGGCTGTTTTGCTTTTGGGTTGATGTGATTTCGTGAGTAGGGATTCTATGTTTCTGGATGTTTGAGAGCTTCAAAATGCAGATACGTGGGTAGAGTTCGGAGGTGTATAGAGTTGGAGAAGCGACAGGGTCCAGGTAGCCTTTGTATATATAGGGCTGCACAAACGAAGAAGGAGTTTGGTGTGATAATGTTATTGTTAGATCTGACAAGCTTGTCTTTGTTTTTCGTTGCCAAATTTAAGACATGAAAACTGCATTGTGAAGAGGTCGACCTTTTGTCTGCGCTTGTGACATGTCTCGAATTGAATGTCGGTACAGTGTCGGCGACTGTCACTATCAAATAGGACTTCTACGTGGCTTTTTAGACCTGTGGTCAGTCCGACGCATGGTCGTACTAGTGGTTTAAGAGTCCTTGGTGATTCCAGTCTGCTGTTCTTCCCAAAGTCACGTGTATCAATTATGGCTCGCCGGTATCGCGAAGGCTGTGCCAGTCCAGAATTCAGTGTCTTGCGAAGAAGCTCTGAGTTCCCCAGGAATGTTGGTGGGGCGCCTTCATGGTTCTAGAATATTGTCCAGCGACACGTCCTTCTCTGTGCCTCCTATTGGTTCTGTGTTGGCCCAGAACTTGCTCAAATGTCTTGCGCCGCTGTGAAAAAAGAGTGAGTTGGTAATCTTATTGCTAGGTAGAACGCTCACCTGTCGCATAGAAGTGTTACGATGCGGTGACCAGGGCCGAGTTGTTTCGCCAATTTTGTGGCAGCCACGCCTAGTTGCGGGTCAGCCTTGTCTTCACACCGTACTGTTGGGTGGTACTCACAATTCACAGCACTGCTGCTTCCTACAAAGATGCCGTCGTTTTCGACCAACCACCGTGCCATACTTATGGCCTGTTCGTCCGTCACTCTTATGGCGTCATCTATGAGCTCCCTGCCCACTTCGAAGTTATGAGTCACACGGTTAATTCCAATGCCCTCAACGATGGTGTCGACTTGGTGTCTCCGCCGAGTTCCTTCTCTTTCCTTTGTGTCGAACATGACACCATATTTCACCTTGTTAAATAGACCGCTACCTTGGGGATCTGCAAGTACCACTTTGAGCTCCGGCAGTCTTGATTTCAAAGATAGAGCAACACCAGATATAGTGCCGCCCGTACCAGCGCCACTGATGAACGCGTCTAGTTGACCGCCTGTTTGTTCGTAAATCTCCGGGCCAGTGCCTGTGAAGTGAGCACGCCAGTTTGCTTCTGTTTCGAACTGATCAGCAAATAACCCTCTACCAGACTTTTCTGGGTCCTCCGTATGCTCTTTGGCTCTTGTGCGCGCCAGGTTGACGAATTGATTCTGGTCGACAATAGGCGCTGGCCGCACCCTTTCTACTTCAGCCCCAAGCTTGAGCAGGAGGTCTGACTTTTCGATTGCCATATCGTTTGGCATGCAACTGGGAACGGTCACCGGGTTGCTTCAACTCTGGGTTGACTCTGGTACTCACATGTGTGCTTTGTAGCCACGCGCGCGGCATATTGCAGCAAGTGAGATGCCGGTACTACCCACCGTGCCTTCGTAAATGGTATCGCCAGAATGCGGGACCAACAAACCCTTCTCTTCCGCCTGTTCTGCTGTTAGTATTAACTAGCGCTCTATGATACAAGTTCGCGAACCATTTCTATAATGCTTAATGCAACTCGGTCTTTTGGACTGTTGCCCGCACCGTTAAGGAACTAGGTTGGTGTCAGTGCCGTACTCTACGCAGTTGTGAAATTCACCAACCTCTGCTTTTGCTAATATTTCACATCCTGTGGCCTCAGAAAGCGATTTGATTTTTATAAGAGGTGTATTGCCAATGCATCCTTCAACACCTTCCCTGATGTTCCCTTCTCCCTTCTCGAGCCTCTGCTCAATTTCTCTCAAGCTTTTTTTCAGGGTGTCCAAATCATTTACATTTGATAGTTTTGCTAACAATTGGTGGAGCTGTTTTGAATGGCGCTCCGAAGTCTGACGATCATCATGCTGGGTGCGTTTTTGATACAGGGCGGTCAATGCAGCACCCAGTAAAAAAGCGCTCACGACGTAAAATTTTGTATGGTCAGGCATTGTATTCACATTGGTCCTGATAGTTGAATTGATGCGACCATGAGCAAGTTTTAACTGGAAGAATGGTACGAGCAAGTGCAAGCGGGTATCGCGGCTTGGCAAACCAAACCACGTGCCCTACTGCCCATTCTTGTGTGCAGTGCTCTCCATCTTCATCCTACATCCAGAGCTTCATTCGAAGCCTTGCGATAGGCTTCAATGGATTCACCGCTCGCCACGAATCTCTTCCGGCAGCTATTTTCGTACCGCGCGTCGCACTGTCTTGCTCGGAGAGCTCGGCCTGCTCTCACGACTGCCCGCGCTCCTCAAATCTCGCAGCGAGGCAAAGCTACCAAAGCTACCAAAGCTACCAACCCCCCGATTGCATCGAGATCTTCACGTCGCGAGTTCGACTCGAAAAGAGAAAGCAAATGGCAAGCTCGGCGGAATGTCTTTCCCCAGGAAAGGATGGAAGAATTCGACCGATATCCGCTGGTCACGGCCGACATGCTTAGAACCCGGAGGGAAAGGCCACGGAGGGTGAAAATGCTCCTTCGGGATTTTATAGAAGGTAAGGGACAGGCAGCATATACGCGCGGGGATACATCTGTCTAACAAAACACCAGATAGTCTCTACAATCCATACTATGGCTACTTCTCCAAGCAGGTCGTCATCTTTTCACCCGGCGAACCCTTCAACTTCAACAGCATGTCTTCCGAGCATGAGTTTTTCCAGCAATTGCGCCATCGTTATTCGAAATTTGAGGATGCCCTCGACTTCCAAGAACCCAACGATCTGCGCCAGCTTTGGCATACCCCGACCGAGCTTTTCTCGCCATACTACGGCGAAGCAATTGCCCGTTACCTTGTCGATGACTATAAATACAATTGTTACCCATATGATGACCTGATCATCTATGAAATGGGAGCAGGAAACGGCACGACGATGCTGAACATCCTGGATTATATACGGGATATGCACCCGGAGGTGTATGAAAGGACCCGGTACAATGTTATCGAGATATCAAATCAGCTAGCAAATTTGCAGCAGCAGGGACTGGGTCAACATGCTTACACAAGAGGTCATTCCGATAAAGTGGAGATTGTAAACTGCTCTATTTTCGATTGGAAACAGTACGTGTCTTCGCCATGCTACTTTCTGGCTCTGGAGGTTTTCGACAACTTCGCACATGACGCGCTAAAGTACGATTACTCAACCGGTACGCCATACCAGTCGCACGTTGTCGTTGACGGGGATGGCGAGCTCTTTGAATATTATTCCCGCAAACTGGACCCCATGGCAAATCATTTCTTGAAGACTAGACATGCAGCTTGTCCAACGTATCCCCATCCTCTGTCTGGATCGCGGTTCGTGAATACAATGCAATCGCTGTCGCCATTCCGAGGGTCTTTGAGTGCACCGGAGTACATACCTACACGCCTCATGCAGTTCTTCTATACGCTGTATGAGAAATTCCCTAAGCACAAACTTGTCAGCAGTGATTTCCACAAGCTTAGCGATGCTGTGGAGGGAATCAACGCGCCAGTAGTCCAAA